GCTGGGGTGGGACATTTCATTGCTTGGCTGGTGAGGAAGCCCGTGAGGCTCCTGTGTGGCTGTGGTCCAGGCTCTCTCTTGCTAACGTTACTATTTATTTGTTTTCTGTCTTGAAATATTTGATTTTCCCCCGAGGGTGCTCATGGGAGCTTAGAAGACCCCAAAAGTGTCACCCAACACAAGCTGATCCACGCTGCTTCCAAGCGGGTGCTGAGTGACGCCAAGACCATCGCGGAGGAGAACGTCCAGGACCACGGTAAGCGCCACGGGAGCCCTGGCGGGCGGGCCCAGAGGAGGGGCCGTCAGTGGCCACGTCCGGTTAGAGCGGGAGACCGGGTCGTCTTCTCCCTTTACTCACACCAGCGTGTGTGGCGGGATGTTTGTGAGAACCAAGGAAACTGGACGTGAACGGGCAGCGTCCGTCAGAAGGGAAAGGTGACTCCATTGTAAATGCTGATTCGAAGCAGAACGCAGGTGTGCAGAGCGGCCGCTCCATTCAGGCTGCTGGGATGTCCGGCGGCTGCTTCAGCCCCCAGGAGCTGCTCCTCTCTACACACCCTCTGTCCTCGCTGTTCTCTGTCAGATGCATTTGGGGAAGAAACCTTGGTTTTCTTTCTTTTAAAAAAAAATTTTTATTTTATTGATTTCAGAGAGGAAGGGAGAGGGAGAGATAGAAACATCAATGATGAGAGAGAATCATTGATCAGCTGCCTCCTGCACATCCCACACTGGAGATCGACCCTGAAATCCAGGCATGTGCCCTGACCAGGAATCGAGCCGTGACCTCCTGGTTCATAGGTTGACACTCAACCACTGAGCCACACCTGCCGGGCGAAACCTCGGTTTTCCATCTCGAAGGTGGTCTGGATCCTGGATGCCCTTAAATCTGTCCTGAAAGCACTGGAAGCGTTTGCTGACCCCATCGAGTGTGGAGGTCAAGGCCCTAACCAGGTGGGAGTTGACCCACGCTGGGCTGTGGCTGAACTGACTGCGCCTCCAACCTCCCAGACTTCCCGTGGCCCCTTGAAGTGAGAACATTGTGCACAATTCCCCCCAGTTTTCTGCACGGTTGTCGGGAGGCGCTGTGTGTGCCTCCTGGGCACCGGTGACCTCTGTGACCCACAGCCGGCTCTTGCCGAGCCTGGAGCCTGTGTGTGAGCCAGGGGCGTGCAGACGTGAGCACTGAGGGAAGGCGGGCTGGTGTGGACGCCTGGGCAGGAGGCCCCCGGGGGAGCCCTGCTTCTCTGTCCGTGGCCAGCGGCTACTTCGTGGACATGAAACCATAACCAGCTTGACAGCTGTTTCTCCCTAGATGTCCTGCTGTTGGTGAAAAAGCGAGCGCCGTCTCCGCTTCCTAAGATGGCTGACGTCTCGGCCGAGGAAAAGGTGAGCCTCACAGTGGGACTGAGAGCTTTGTGAGTGAGAGCCCCCACCGCCCAGCCTTTGGGGACACACGTTCTGTGTGCCCGCCATTCACAGGCAGGCGAAGTGGGCACAAGGGGTTCTGCCTGGGCTGAGCTGAGTGACCGAGGCCTGTCCGGTTGCTGGTCACGTGACTGGCTCTGGGCCACCTGGCTCTGCGTTTAGGCTGGAGCGGAGAGGAGTGTGTGGATGTTCTCATGGTGGAGCCTACGTGCCGAGTCCCCGGCAGATTCACTGTGTGCCGTGTGTGCCCCAAACCTGTGCTGACAGCTTGGGTCGTCGCTGACCACAGCCCCACAAAACAAGGGGTACACGTGGGGTGGGGGGCACGTTCACCACTCCAGAGGGACGGGGTGCGTGTCGGCGTCCCTGAGTGAACTCCTGGAGGCCCGGTGCCCGTCTCTCTGCATCTTGGGCAGAACCTGAGGTCCCTGGGATTCGCATGCACCTGCGCCTTCGCTCTAGGACCTCAACGCACAGGCGTGCACAGCCGCCTGAAGCTGCGTGGTGCGTGCAGGAGGCCGGTACACGTGGTCCCTGTCCAGACCTGTGCCTGGTGCCAAGCCACGTTAACTTCACAGCTGTTCCTTCCTTATCTTCAGGCACAGCGTTCCTTATTCATGCTCTGAGGTGCTGGGGAGAGCGCTCACTGGGAGGAAGCAGGCCGACACGGCTGGGCTTGGGGCCGGGAGGGCGGCGAGGGAGGGGCCCTTTGGGTGGCCCTTCTTATCTGCCAGCACAGCTGCCCCCCGCAGGCCGCTCAGCCCATCTCTGGGAGACAGGCCTGGGCCTGCCTCTGCCTGCAGGTCTGCCACGTCGGGAGCTGTGGGCGACGGCCATCCTCAGCCTCCGCCAGCTCTGCCACTTGCAGCCCCTTTCTCTGCACGAACGCTGTGATGTTGGTCTGTTTCATGGGTTGTTATTTGTTTTAAGTGGACGGCAGGCTTTGTAGAAGTCCCATAGTGCCATGATCTCCTAGGAAGGGTCGCCTGCTCCCCACCTGCCAGGCACCCTGGAGGCCACAGCCACGGACCTCATTCACCTGTTCCCTTAGCGCTCCCCCAGCTCCACCCACGCGATCGGTGTCACCCTGTTGGCTCCAGAAGGTCTGGTCTCCCTGCCCCTGGGGTCAGAGCACGGCTCTCTGAAGCAGAGTCAGGTCTGTCGGTGCTGTCAGTAAGCCGCCCCTTCCCTCCGAGTACACGCACCCAGATCACCCTGTCATGCAGCTCCTCTTCCCAGCGCCAGGAGCTGCCTCGTCGTGTTGTCTGGTTCCTACGGGCATATCACTGATTTTCCACTTCCTCGCCAGAACTGATAAACCCCTCTGAGAGCGGGTCCCGGTGTGAGGCCCTGCCAGTTCACTTCCCAGGGGGTGCCCTCCAGGTCGTCTGCTCCAGCTGCCTCCAGGCCTGTGTGCAGCCCGGCCTTCCCCTCCCCCATCGGCCCTCCTGTGTCAGGGCCTCTGAGCCTCTAGGTCTGCGTCTGCGTCCGGTTGCACCAATCAGTGCCCAGACTTCCCAGCAAAACCGCGACTCCCAGGCTGCCAGGTCCGCGTCTGGTGGCTCACAGTTGAGGGCGGAGGCGCCGACTCCATAGCGTCAGCCGGGGCTGCTCTCAGCTCCTGGGCTGCTGTGTGCCTGCCACAGCCCCGTGTCCTCAGAGCGGCAGCAGTGGCTCCTGGGCTGCCTCCCTCTGGCCTAAGGCCAGCCTGGCCAGGGCCGGCACCTTTTCTTGAAGTGGCTGTGCCGTGGGAGAGACCGGCCCTAGAGAGAGTTCATCCTGCTCAGGCCGGGCACTGGGGTGAGCAGCTGGTGGAGGAGCTCGTCCTGCCCTGCGGTGCCCCTGCTCCCGGCCTGGCCGCGGGGCTGCTCCCTCCGCCACACTCGGTCTCGGTCTGAGTCGGTCGGTGCCGTCATTCCGCTTCGCTTCCTGCCCCATTTTTCTCATCGGCTCTGCCGTGGGGGGCGGGTCAGGAGGAGCAAAAGGTGAGTTTCCCGTGGCTCGTGGGACCCAGTTCTGTGTTCCTCAGGGGTTGGCCGCTCCCCAGCCCGACCGTGGCCCGAGGGGTGTCTCCGCTGCCCCTGTCCTGCCACTGCTAGTTACGCAGCGGGGATTGCAGCGCTTGCGTCCTGAGCGGCACGTGGTCTGTTTGTGGGGGTGGCCCAGAGCCCTCCGGAACCTTCTCCAGCTCCCAGAGAGGACCCACTGTCCCGGGTCAGGCTTGTCCGTCCCACCTGCATGGTGTTGCCACTGTTCCCTCACATTAACTTCTGACTCTGGTTCCGTTTCTGTGTAGAAAAAACAAGAGCAGAAAGCCCCCGACAGAGACGCGA